AACGGTCACAAGCTGGCAGAGGGTAGGTTTAGGTTGGACATCAGGAGGCGATATTTCACAGTCAGGGCAGCTAGGGTCTGGAACCAACTTCCAAGAGAGGTGGTGCAGGCTCCTATCCTGGGGGTTTTTAAGAGTAGGTTAGATGAACACCTTGCTGGGGTCATTTGACCCCAGTACTCTTTCCTGCCATGGCAGGGGGTCGGATTAGATGATCTGCTCAGGTCCCTTCCGACCCTAGAAACTATGAAACACACTGCAGCAAAACTACAACAGTGTATATCCATTCTGTCTATGTTAAATTCACCACTTCTTGGTATGTCAGCCATCACCAATGGCTAAGAAAAGCAAGCTGGCTTTAAACACGTACCAGTGTTTAGTTATGATGAGAACTGTTTTTTAAAGTTGACAGGCTGAATAAAATGAGATCTTTGATATCTTATACTAGAAAACATGGGATTCAAACATATGAGTCCTAATATTTAAATCCTTTTCAAGAGTAGATCACACTACAGACTTCTCAAGGGGCTGTCCCAACAAAAGGAGGAAAAAAATAGTAACTCTTCAACTAGCAAAAATAACTGACTTAACAACAATAAATAGTTCTCTTTAATCCAACCAATATGGCAAAACCTAAACTCCACCCCCCCACATCGCATCTATATATGACGTTCTAAAAGCATTATAAAACCACTGGCAAAAATTAATATAAAAGCTATCACCTCCAAGAAACGCTGAGGATCACATTCATCGACCAGCTTTTCACAATCCTTCAGGAAATTTTCAATAGTTATTTTGTGAATTCCTTTCATTTTCTTCCAAATTTGTAACTCTTTCTCTCTCTTACTTCTTTGATTTTCAAGGTCTTCTAGCAATTGCTTTTTTTTCGTTTCCAGAGTTTTGAAAATTTCTTCAAATTCCATTGTAATTATTTCTGCTTCATTGTTCAACATCATCTAGAAACACAACAATTTACAAAAGTAAAGCCTTGATTACTATCTTTACACTTTGCTGGATGAACTAAAGTGTCAGAACTTTGCTATGGTATTGACTACACTATGACCTTCAGGTGATAGCAACAGTTACAAATTTGGGGTAAATGATTAACATAGGCCATAGCTACTGTGTGAAATAGTTAGTTCCATAATTCATTTTTCAAGAGTTGAAAAGGTGTCTACTTTTCATGTTCTCACACCCCCTTTTAATTAAGCAGCAAATTAACAGTGCTCCCTCTCTACAGAGAGGATTATAATTAGCTTACCTCCGCCGCTTTTTGATGACTTGATATTTCCTTTTCCAGCTTCTCATTAATTGCTCTTACTTTTTTCAGACTACTGAAAAAGGTTAACTACAGAATAAAAATTAAAAAACGTAGTTAATCTGTGCAATTTAATAAAAAACACATGATGCTCTTTAACCCTATATTTGCCACCTGTTCAGCTTCTAACACATCACTTAAAGAACCCTGCATGCTGTGTAGAAAAAAATGGGGAGCTTTGCATTTAGTAGCTCTCTCTCAAAAATAGCATTTCTTGGGCTTTTCTACACCTGAAAGTGTTGTAACTTTATATACAAGTTAAAGCAGCAAACACTCTCTTCATGCCTCATGGATGCAGTCATACCAATTAAAATGCTTATACTGTGGTTGAGACAGTAAATAAGCTATGCTAGCATAAACATATCAATTAAAAAATTGCACTTCAAAGTTACCTAGCTGAGCAGATACATCCCTTCTACCTTAGACCTGGGCCTTGAGCTAGAAAGCTATAAGCAATGATAGCTATACTGCATTACCTTTCACAATGACAAGCCATACTTTGGTCCACACAAAAGGGCTGGGGGCAGGCAGAAGTGTTACTGTTAGACTGACACTTAAAAGCACTATACTGCCTGTCAATTTCTGATGCATACTAAAAGTTTTCCATAATTTCTCTGATTAGGCTAAGGTGGAGGTTCTTCCAGGAAAAAGGTTGGTTGTTTGTTGTTTGGTCCATTGGGAAAAGAAGCAAGGATGTTTCCCCCTACTTCAAAGATGCACTTAAAAGTTATATTAGGCACACCTTTATAAAGGAATGCATGTTCTGAAGCAAGAAGTGGGAGGCCTAGCTCAGCCATCTTTTCCAGTTGATGGGAACAGAGGTCTATTTCTCTATGGTGCTGGTCCTGAAACTTTCCTGAAGACCCAATTTTTTTGACCATGCCCTTGGTTATGGTTATTACCTGACATAACTCTACATTAGAATAGGGTATTTTAACCATACAGTAGGGCTTTTAACGTGGTTAAACCATACAGTAGGGCTTTTCAAAGGCAACACAATCCATGTAAGTCTCAATACATATGAAACAATTAAAAGCCTCACGATCAGATCATGAATTTGTTTCCTGTACAGAGGTGGTGAGCTGCTTTTGCGTATCCCTAGTTTCAGCACTGATTCCTAGCATTTGAGCCAGCACAAAACTCTTGCCACTCCAGGTACTCATTCCATTGGGCCACACCACAAAACCTAAGGGATAGTGTGTGGATGAACTTAAACTGGTGTGTAAAGAAGTGAGTCAATCATTTTGGCAGGCATGCCACAAAACTGCCCTGATCCCTCACAGACACTCTTCCCTGCCCTCTCCTCCCTAGAGTCATAAAAAGTGAGGGTTGGAAAGGACCTCAGGAGGTCATCTAGTCCAACCCTCTGCTCAAAGCAGGACCATCCCCAACAAGGCTTGGTCTAGCCAGATCTTAAAAACCTCCAAGGATGGAGAGTCTACCACCCCTCAGGGTAGCCTATTCCAGTGCTTTATTACACTCCTAGTGAGAAAATTCTTCCTAATATCTAACCTAAACTTCCCTTGCTGCAGTGTAAAAGCATTGTTCCTTGTTCTGTTATCTGCTACCACTGAGAACAGTTCAGCTCCATCCTCTTTGTAACCACCCTTCAGGTAGTTGAAGGCTACTATTAAGTCACCTCTCAGCCTCCTCTTCTCTAGACTAAATCAACCCACCAGTTCCTTCAGTCTTTCCTCATAGGTCACGTCCCCCACTCCCTCACCATTTTTGTTGCCCTCTGCTGGACTCTCAGTTGTCCACACCCCTCCTGTGGGGGGGGGGGGGGGTCAAAACTGGCCACAGTACTCCAGACTATCCCCTTCCCTTCTGTCCCCTCTTGACCAACTAGGTGTCACACACACACACACGCAGCCTGTGCCACCCCTCATGGCACTATGCTGCAGGTAGACCATCCCTGACAAAGCAACACAGCTGTGACCAGCACTCCCTCAAAGCTGTGTGGCGTGCACAGCCCAGGAGCACTAGAAAGGAAAGAAAAATATAGCTCCTTTTGGTTAAGACACAGCTGCTTTGGCAAAACCCACTATGAGACCAGGTGCTGGGAGAGCCAGAGAGTCATTCTGGTGTCCTTATGTGGGGAACTGCTCTTCCCAAATCTCCTGGGCATAGTCCCAGTGCCCCAGCCAGGAGCCAGAGAGCCGACCCACAGGGGGTCCGGGGCAATCACACAGCAATAAGTTTAGTGGGTGCCCGGGCAGGCGGCCCCCTCGGGGAGGGCCTTACTTTCTCCTCCTGATACACCGTGTCCAGCAGGTTGACGCAGTGGAAGATGCCCTGGTGCAGCTCAGACACGCACTGCCCGCAGCCCGCCTGGCAACACAGGCGGCAGTACAGCTGCAGTGGCCGCGCCGGGTGCTTGCGGCAGGCTCCCCCCAGCGCCCGCGCCGCCTCCTCGCTGCGTCCCGGCTCCCGCTCTGCCTCGGCCCGGTACAGCTTCACCACCTCAGCCAGCGTGGTGTTGACGGGCAGCGCGGCCGCGCCGCCCCTGGGCAGCGGGCACGGTTTGCGGC